GGAGGCTGCAGGGTGTGTATGTAGGGGGTGGGCATGTATGTGGCGGTGTATGTTGGGGGGAAGGGAGGCTGCCCACATGCTAGGTCCCAGAGCCAGTCAGGGCTGGGGAGAAGGAGGGAGAGAGGGAGTGGGGGACAAAGGCCACATGCAGTAGAGCTTGCCTGGGCAGTGTGGTGCAGGTGCAGGTCTGGCCTGCCCCTCCTCACCCCCCATGTGGCCTGTGGCTGCCCCTGCAGCCCTCTGCATGGAGCCATGTCATGCCAGCTCCCACCTGGGACAGCCCATGCCACGTCCCCACCCTGGGCAGCCTTGTACCCGCCAGACAGTGCCACCCTAGCCCCAGCCAGTGTGCACAGCTTCCCAGCAGGGCTGCAGCTGCAGCCACCCAAGTGCTGCTTGGGTCCCCCACATCCAGAGGCTCCTTCTTCTCCTCCTCCTGCCCCTACTGCACCACTGCAGGCAGCAGGTAAAGCTGGGAAGGCATGGGAATGCATACTGGGCTGCAGATGCCCAGCCAGTGGGGGAGAAGCTGCAGCTGGCCAGCTCCTGCTCCAGCTCCCAGCCACCTTCCACCCTCTCCCCCCACTCAGCAGGATGAGCAGCTACCTGCAAGTGGCCAAATGAGTGGAAGGCAGCTGGGAGTTGGAGCTGGAACCCTGTGCACTAGGCCAGGAGCTGCCTGGCTGCAGCTTCCCCTCTCCCCAGCTGGGTACGTGGCTGCCATTGCGTCCCTACACTACCTGCTGCCCAGAGCAGCACAGCAGGGGCAGGAAGAGGGGGAGCTGCTGAAGACAAGGGAAACTGAGCAATACCCATACACCTGCAGCTGTAGCGGGAGCAATTCTGCTGGCAGCAGTAACACATAGGGGGTGCATGGGGGTGCATGTGCACCCCCTGAGAATGCCAGTGCACCCCCCTGACTGGCCACGCTCCCTGCTTAGGTGATTGACAGGAGGGGCAGGTGGGAGCGCCCGTGCCCCCCTTGTAAGTGCCGGCTGATCACTGCAGCCACTCCCAAAAGCAGCTGCAGCCACTTCTGGAAGCAGCCACAGCAATCGGCCATTGCGGGATCGGCTGCAGGGGATCCCTGCCACCCCAGGCAGAGAGATCTGTTGTGGGGGACACCCCCCTGCTCAGCGGGATCAGCCATGGTTGGTGGGACTGGTCGCAAGGGGGGGTACGTGCCCCCCCCCCCCCCCCCACTAGGGGGGCCCCGGTTGTCCTTGTCTGTGGGGAAGGTGCAACCTCTGGTGGGGGGGGGG